AGTGAAGGAAGGAAGGCAGGGAGTGAGGGGAGGAGAGAAGGAAGAGAAGGGGAGGAAAGGATGGGGGAAGGAAGGGGGAGAGAGAAAGGGGGGAAAAAGGGGGAGGGAGAGGAAGCGAGAGGAAAGGGAGAGGAGGGGAAAGGGGGAAGGGAGGGAGGGCGGGAAGGGGAGAGGGAGGAAGGAAGGAAGGAAGGAAGGAAGGAAGGAAGGAAGGAAGGAAGGAAGAGAACTGGAGATGTAACTCAGTGTGAAGGTCCTGAGTTCAATTCCCAGTATGAATGTAATAAAAACATAACATAGCCCTCCGTTTGCTCCCAACATCTGTCCAGAGGAGATGTCTCAAAGTATCAACTTTGCCATAGCAGTAACAGCAGCAACAAGGTCACTGAGGCCCATAATGGGTCAAACACCTCCATTTATTCATTTTACCCCTACAACAACTCTAGTACACACGTACTAATATTCTTAATTTATGGATGACAAAGCTGAAGCACAGAAAGGGTAAATAACTTGCCCAAAATCACACAGGTAATAAGGAGTAGAGCTGGGATTCCATTTACTATACTACTCCACATGATATACTACAGTGTGCAACTCTCCTGCAGGAATCAGGTAAATGGCTTATAAAATTTAAATCCAAATGGGAAGAAATCCTGTGGAGTGGTGTGATACACAGAGCTGTGGGCTAAGCAACAGTATGAGTTGCGCTGTCACGCTGGCTTGTTCAGGGCAGCTGGAAACCCCAGAGGAGGAGAGGGAACGACCGCAACACTCATGTGGTCCTCCGAGTGGGAAGAACAGGCACGATGGTCAACTAAGCAAATGTTCCCCTCCAGAGGATCAGACCATGCCCCAGAGAGACAGACCAGTCTGTACTTCAGACACACAGGGCCATTAACAGCCCTCTAGTGACTCTGACCTTGCATACTGTGCTGCTGGAAGCAAACAGCCACCGCACTAGGGAGCGGCAAACGAGAGTTGCTCTGTATACTGCGCGTGAGAGGGCTGGGAAAGGAGGATGGCAGTTCTGAGCTGTGGTATTTGTTTTCCTATAATCCTCCAGCTTAAAATCTCTCTGATTTAAATGTCAAGCACCTGTTCTAAGAAAAACCCCATTTGTTGCCCGCATCTGACTGCTATCCAAGGAAGAAAGGGAAAGATCAGTGGTGTGCTTTATTTCAGGTACCATAATAGTTCTTCTCCCCTCTCTATTATCACTCTTTACCTATACAACCTCCCATAAATTGTTTCATTATAGTCACTGGAATAAAAGGAATGTTTTGAATGTTCAAAATCAATCTTTCCTTTCTTATGTATTAATTTGACACAATCTTCACCTGATTCTTCATAAGCAAACACTAAAGTAGATGCTCCACATTTGCTGCTATAGGACTCCAATTTTATGTCCACATGGTAACAAACCTTCCTTCTTTATCATTAAAATAAAAACATAAAACATTGTCCTACCATATCTACTTTGTGAGTATATCAAATCCAGAGCCTTGTGCCTGCTAAACAAGGGCTCTACCACTGTGCTATACCTCTAGCTCTTCTTAAAATTTTATTTTGAAAGAGGGTCCCACAAAGTTGCTCAGACTAGCCTCAAACTTGTGACCCTCCTGCCTCAGCCTGCTGAGTAGCTGGGATAACAGGCACATGTCCCACCATGCCCAGTCTATGCCTACTTTTATTAACTACCCTAGCATGTTAGATCTTGTTATGTTTTCTCATTTTTATGAATTCATTTATTTTTAGATTTACAATACAGTGTTTTGTTTGTAGTGCTGAGGATCAAACCCAGGGGATCACATATTCTAGACAAAAGCACTATATCACTGAGCTATACCTCAAGCTCTATAATACACTGTTATCAACTATAGCCATACTGATGTACAGTAGATCTCCTGAACTTACTCCTGAAATTTTGTACTTTTGACCAACACGTCCCCTTATATTTCTAGAAAGGAAAACAATACATAATGGGCACCTATAAGTCTCAGGAACTATCTTATCATATCTCATACAATCCTTTTGACCTCCATGGAAAGCAAAGGGTTTGATCACCATTTTACAGAGAAAGAAACAATTTGTTCTTTAAGGCACATCACTCCTTGTTAAGGCTCATCTCCTCATCAATAGCTTAGAGAACACAAAACAGGGCTGTCCCAGAAAGACCAAGATTCCAAGGAATCCTGTCCCAAGTCAGAACATCAGCATCCAGAACACACAGCAACCCTGCACAGGAAACTGCAGGCAGGTAGCTTTTCCCTTTAAGCTCCCTCATTTACAGATAAGAGCCAAAGTAAAAAATTTATTCATTTCCTTTCTCTTTCAAAGAACTGAGGTCAATGGAAAACAGCCTCCCCTCAAAAACTTAACTAAAGGTTAACTACAAGAGAGTTCAAGGTGTTTTATAGAGAGAGATGCCTATTAATATGACATAAGACAAGTCAGACTTTATGTTTTCTGTGGTACAATAAAAACTAAAACCAATGAGTATTTTTAGCTTTTTCCAGTCTAAAAGTATTTGACCAGAGGATCTTTACTAACACTGGTTTTCCATGCATTGATTAAAACTGACCAGGGTTATAAAAGAAAGAAATCATTTCCTGACCAGAAAGCCTCCAACATAAAAGAAGAGGACATTCCACACGACCTATCATTAGCAGTGGTCTGATCCTGATTTCCATGGCTCACTCTGTTATGACTCTCGTCCTGATCCCATCAAGGCAAGGCGGCACATATCAGGTACCCAGGCCATGAAAAAGACACAATGGCACAATGCTGAGTCCTTGCACGATATTCTTTTAGACAACTATGGCTTAGAAAACACTCTGTATTACATTCAATCTTTGCATATTTTTCATTTCAAATCTTGCTAGATTTTTTTCCTGTCAATGATGAAGAAAATATTCTTCCTTTACATTTGAGGGGAAAAGAAGACCAAAATGATGAAGTTAGGAATTTTTGATACAAAAATCATAGGAGGATTTCTATCTTCCATTTACTTACTCTGGGTATACATCTAGATTTCAGCCAAAAAACAAAAACAAGAAAACCCTCAATGGACATAAGCCTCAACTTAAAATGAAGTCATATGTATTTACTGTCCAGTGCTTTTGTGTAATAGTATAGCATAATATTAGCAATATTAGGCTAATCTAAAACTCTTGAAGGTCTTATTTAAGCTTTTTTTTCTTTTTTTTGAGACAGGGTCTCAGTAGTTAGTCCAGGCTAGCCTTGAACTTGAGGCAATCCTCCTGCCTCAGCCTCTGGAGTGCTGGGATTATAGGTGTACACCACCATGCCTGGCTTAAGCTTTTTAATCAAAATTTACTTTGACTGCCCTGTATGATGATGGTCACATACCTGACAGATAGATTAGGTCTGTATCTAATTCAGTTTGTATCCATCACCTGATTTTATAGAAGAAGTGAATTTAATGGAGAAGCAGGATTGTTGCTTCAATAGTTCTAAATGAGTGAATAATGCCCACTTGAAAAATACTGTAGAACAATGAATTTGGCATCATGCACATACAAATGTAACAGCCATAATTTGAGCCATGTTTGTTGTTGCCTGTGTCTTCTAAAGTCTGTGGCATAAGCCATGTTTCCAAAGATTTACAGAGATAAACACAGTCCCCAAAATAAGAGTTAAGAGCTAAGAAAATTCTTTTTTTCCCTTAAGGAAATGGACAGTTAGCAAAGACTCGGTTATTAGCACAATTAATTTCCTACGCAGAAAAATTCAGCTTCAGTTCCAGTATATACCACACTATCAGCCAGTCCACTTTGAGAGAGGTTTTGAAAGTTGAACAAATTTATCTGTGAAGCTCCACAAGAAGGAACAAAGATAACAGCTGTCTCTGCAGCATGCCATCTAGATACTGCACTGTGGCACTAGCATTTACGCAGACATCTTAAGGAAACTGTATTCTAATCTGGTAAAGCAATGATAAAACCATCAAGTGCTGCCTATAATGGAAGGAAATGATGTAACCAGCCCAACACCAAAATAGTTATTTCTTCCAGTGGTAGTGATCGATGTGGACTGCCTTGTTCTCTGGCTCATACAGAATCTAACACAGCTGTGTAAGAGAGCTGAGACAAAGACGAAGGCTTAGGGATAAGGCACAGAGCCAAAGTGGCCTGCTTAAGGAGCATATCCATGACTTTAGTCTCAACTTTGCCAGTCAAGCACAAACTCTGAAATAACAAGCCTGAGATTTTTTTAAAAAAATGTTTCAAACTTGAGACTTCTGGCTGGGGATATAGCTCAGAGGCACAAGCTGCCTGCCTGGCAAGCACAAGGTCCTGAGTTTGATTCCTAGTACCAAAAAAAAAAAAAAAAAAAAAAAAACCAAACTTAAGACTTTTCCCTAAATCACACTGACTTTGTATTTCCAATGATGAAGATAGACATGCAAGTCTTTACTTCAACTGGATCCACACAGATGAGGGTTCAGGATGTGGGACAATCAAAACTTCATAGATTATCCTAAATGTCATTTCTCTAATATCTTCTTCGAAATAATATTTTCTAAGCAAGATGATAATACAAACATAAATAATAATTATACATGTAAATTTTGCTAGGGGATAGGTCTACCTGTATATATAACTCCTTTGTAGGAAAGGAGATATATATTTTTTTGTAGGAAAATTTAAATGCCAAAACTACCAGTTTTTTTTTCTTAGAAGAGACACACTGTCTTTAGCAACGTTTTCTTTTATTAGCCAGTATATGTAAGAAATTATTTCCAGGGGCTGGGGATATAGCTCAGTGCACAGTGCCTGCCTGGCAAGCACAAGGTCCTGAGTTCAATTCTCAGTACCAAAAAAAAAAAAAAAAAAAAATTTCCAAAAAAATCAATTTCCATTTTCAAAAACTATCTGAATTATTATATATGAGAAATATTTTATCTAAAAATGTACCTCCCAGTCATCCCAAGACACTAGGTTTAGGGAACTAGGGGATCAGGACTTCTGATTACTTACTTGTTAAAAAAAGGTTCAATGAGCTTTGATCTGGCAGACACATGAATTTTTGGAGGACTGAGAAAAGAACCTAATAAAGAAAAGAAGCAGGATATTATACACAGTCATGTGAATAAGTAAGCGCCAGTGGTTCCTCTCTTTCTTCTCCCCTCCCATCTCCTCCAATTCCTTCCTTAGAATCTCCCATTTCTAAGTTGGTGAATGGATTCTAGGGAAATGGTACTGCTATAGCCTCAATGATTATGCCTTCAAAATTTATATATAATCTTAATCCCCAACGTGATTGTATTTGAAGGTGAGACCTCTGGGAGATAACTAAGGAGATTGTAAGAAGAGACAATGCAGTATCTTCCCCATCTGTTCTCCACCATGTTTGCAAGCCAGGATGTAGGCTTTCACCGCACACCGTATCTGCTGGCACTTTGGTCTTGGGCTTCCCAGTCTCCAAAATTGTGAGAAATAAAGGTCTAATGTCGGAGTAGCCCAGTCTGTGGTAATGTGTCATAGCAGCTTGAACTAAGGCAAGGAGAGAGGTGGGATCCACTCTAGCCCACTGTCCGTCTGACAGAAACACATATAGTTAGTACCTAGGTAATTTGCCATGGAGATGAAGCACAGTCCTGTGATATAAGCATCATAGCCTGCCTCGTGGAGCTGTTCGGAAGCTGTGTCATAACTTGGAAAACCTTCTGCGCTTTCTAAAAAGAAAAAAGGAAAAAGTTTTCCCCAGTATATCACAGACATGAAGATGAGTAAACACGATGCCTTATGAAATCTAAGTTGCATTACAGTGTGCCACAAAAGTATCTTAAATAAGCAGGAAAAAAACTATTTCCTAATTCTTTCCATACAACATCTTACAATGAGATAAGAGTCCTGAAAAGGAAGACTTTGGTCCAGAATAGAAATTCTTCAGTGGTGTGATCAAAGACTCAGCCAAAGGTCTCTTCAACCTACATTGCTATTTACAATCACCATCACGTGTAACTCTCCCTACAACAATTACTCCTCTTCTGGTTGCCCTGTAAAGTCATAAAAATGAAATTCTTCCCTACACACAATGATACCATCAGAATACCACAAGATTAATAGCAGGACTCTGGAGCTACACAGTATTAGTCGGAATCTCTGCTCTGCCACTTACTTCTTTGTGACCTTGGGCAAGTCACAGCACCTCTGATCCTCCAGTTTTGTAAAACGGAGATAATGGCTTTTATGAGGGTCAAATGACACAATGTAAATAAAGCTCCCACCTAGTGTTATCTGTCAATATTCCAGGTAATCCTCCCCAATAATGACAACTCCAATTTAATACCGGCAGCTCAAAGTCAGCACATCTCTACCCTGCCTACAAGCTGAGAGATCTAAAATTGGTGGCACAACTCACTCCAGAAATAGATCAGAATTTCCTGTATACTGCTCTTAGATCATGAGCCACTTCACAGCAGAGATCACCTTATAACATGAATCTTTCATTACACTGACACACACAGATGCTAAATAGATAAAGTCTGAGAAGAATAAAGAAGGAAAAAAAGTCTGAGGAGACCAACTTGCTTTAGACTAACTCTCTACCAGACACCAGAACACGTTAAGAAAACAACAGGATAAAACTATCATTCATAAATAACCATGTCCTAGAATCATTCTGGAAATGAACGTCGAGAAAGCTACAATACAGAATTTGAAGTATGAATACAAATTTACAGTGAAAAGGCTATAACTTTCTATGTCAATACAATGCTCTTTAACCAGGAATTCTTTACCTTCCACTTAAGTATTAAACATTAGACTTGAAGCTTTTTTATAAAATCTTTTAACACCTAAGTAACATCCTCCACACTACCACCAGCTGAAACACATTTCCCCAATCATTTCCATTACATTGTAACAAATAAGGCCAAGGTTTTCTTCCTCCCACCACCCTTAATTCCTTACTGGACAATACTCACAAAAGGGAATAGATAACTGTAATCTTGGCTGATTTAATACCTTCCATTATCAATTTTCGAATTACTAGTCCTATCAACATCTCTAGAAGTTTTCAGGTTACAGATAATGGAATGCAAACTACAGTATCAGCAGCACAATTAAGCTATCTGGATCAATGACACAGCACAAGGCTCACCAAATACCTGGGTGGTGAGCAGATGTGCCAGAACACCTCTATCTCACAAGAAATATTCCTCTTGACTTCTAATTTTCCCCAGTGCTGCTATATCCACTCCCTAAACCAGCCCAGAAGGAAGCAGGAGTGGGGACTCTCTTAATCTCATCAGTACATAGACCCAGTTCTTGGGTTTTTCTGAGGCAGAAAAGGTATTTTCATTCTCCTCGGACAATTAACTACCAATTCTTTGTCTGCTTAAACAATGCACCATATAAAGGAGCACATCATGTTTTGGGAAAATTCCAAGTACCAGGATATAAAAGCCTTGAAGTTTTAATTGCTAGATTTCTCAATGAACGCCTAACTCTATTAATATAAAATAGATGTAGAACTAGAAGACCATCTTCATTCAGGAAACAGTAATTCAACACAGGCACAAGCAAGTTAGCTCAGTCAAAGTTACAAATATGCAATATAGTTTTAGAGCCATTTCACCTTTCTTCTATGGTATACATCAATAATTATCACAAAGACTTTGAAGGTTTTATTCTTACCAACTTTAGGAGGGTTGAAGGGTGTCTCTTTTAACCGCTTTTCCAATTCTGCGAGGGATGTGTTGTTAATGATATCCTGAAAACCAGGACGCAGAGAATTATGACACTTTATCTTCTCAGTGCAACAGATATTAGAGAAATCCACCGGCAAGACACAGTCACATAAACAGCATCTCCTAGTGCCCCCTGGTGTTCCTTATAGAAACAATTCCTCCTTTACTCAAAGGAAAAGTGAAGCAGCAAGCTGAATTTTCACGCTATAGGAAGTATTACATAGCCAAATGGAAGCAGCTTTTTTACAGATGCATTAAAAACACATAGACTTCTGCCAGAAAGCCTTACTGTTCTGGGCATTCATCTCACTCAGTTATTTAAGGCCCTTCACTAAGTGCAAATGATTATATACTTTGTCTTGAATTTTCTTGGGTAGAAAATACATTCAAAATATATAAAATAAGGAAAAGAAAATGAAGAAAGGAAGAACTATGTATATGTAACCTATTCAAAAATAAATTATGAACTTTAAAATTAAAAACTTACATTCAAAAACTAAAGGATAAAAAACCCTTAATTCCATCACCCAAAGACAATCATTGTTACATTTTAATATATTTTTTTCTCCATTTCTTTTTTGTTCTTGAATGTATCTTAAATAACATTTAAGTAGACTAGAATTCCAAGGCCAATTTAAATTAGAAGTAATTCAAAAAAATCTCAAAATAATTTATCAGTAATAAAGTTTAAATAATACCTTAAATGGTTGTGTGCTGGCCATCAATTTAGTATCCAACAGTCTAAAAAAACAGAAAAATTTTTAGTAAGGTAAACAAAATGTGTACCAATGTTCAAAATGTACTCTACTTCAAATACCTAAAGTATATATATATAACATGTACTTAATACATGAAATCTCAGGATATGCTTAATGCATAAAACATTTAAATATAGGAACCAAACACATTTCCCTAAGGGACCTAGCAGTAGCATCACTGCTACATTAGCCAGCAGTCCCATCACTGGGGACTTCTTCAGGCAATGCAAGACAGTCCATGTTCTAAGGAACACTTAAGGAACCATTTCTAGATTTGCTTGTACCCTGAGATGGTGCAGTGTACATCAATCTCTAAAGTCAGTCAAATGTCCTCACACTTTCACATGGTTCAAATACCACTACCATCCACTGCTATTTCCCAGGTTTATATGATATAAATTCTTATGGAGGACCAAAATCCACATTTGGTAGTTTCATGCTCTTGTTACTTCTCATTATTCTATTTCAAAGATTGAAAATACTAAACAGAGAAAGACAAAGGCCAATATAAAAATGGTGTTTCTGTATTTCCACACGAATGTGAACACCATGAATAATATGACAGAAATAACCCACCTGAAAGACAAACTGCTTAGCTACCAACCTGTTCCTCTTCAAATGGATCCTAAAACACAAACCCTTGTTCTATAGGCAACCCATGGCTGACATGTGGTCTTTCAGGCTTGTGACACCTGAGAACTAGCATGCAATATTAACTATTAAAACACTAACAAGTAAAGGCATTGACTTATAGTGGAGGGAAAAAAAATCTATAGCCAGTTTGACTGAAAAGAGAGGACTCTCAATTGAACCGTTTAGGAGTTCCAAGGCACACACCACATACAAGAGCCATCTCAAGGGACCTTTGCTAGTCCTTCAGACAGCAAGACGTGGGGTAAGAAGGCACCATGTGCTTTCATTCTCAGTTCAAAATTGGATTCTTTCAAAATTGGATTTTTAATGGGATAACAAATCATAAATTTTAAACACTCAACCATCACAAAATTGGATATATTAAATAATTCCCCAACTCATATGAACTGTATTCTAATCCTAACCCCCTGGTTGACATAAATTACTACTTATCTATTCCTGTTGTGTATAAGAAAGATAAGCCCTCAGAGAAACTCTACCTGGGGAAGACACATGTTGTCATCTCTTTAAACTCCTTCAAGTCCTAAAAAACAAGAGAATTACTCATTCAATGTTCCTAACACAGTATAACCAACCTACTGAAAACAAATGTAGGCAGCTCAGGTGCACAGCTATCTTCTCAAACTGTCACACTTCACACGGGCCTTCAGCTAAACTGCAAAACTCTTTTCTAGTTAAGACTTACTTTTTAAAAAATCTTCCCAATTTCCCCACTGGCTGGGAACAACATTACCTGATAACTAATCTCTCTGAATAACCCAAATAGTCAAATTTAAGGATTTTAGGGCTCAAATAAAAAAAGGAGGAGTGCCCTATTATAGGCAGAAAACGGCATATTCGAGAGGCTTGTAATACTTTCAGGGAAGTTACAGTCATAGCTAACAGATTGTGCTCCATTATAGAAATTTATCATAAATGTGAAACTAAGCTGGGCATGGTGGTGCATGCCTGTAATCCCAGAATTCTGGGGGATTGTGGCAGGAAGACTGCAAATTCAAGCCCAATCTGAGAAAGTCAGTGACTCAGCAAGACTCACCCTCAACATAAAAATAATAAAAAGGGGTACGAGTATAGCTTAAAACCCTGAGTTCAATTCCAGTACCACTAAAAGAAAAAAAGAAAAGAAAAGGGAAACTAGCAGTGTCATTTATATCAAATGGTTTATATAGGAAATGGACATATTGTAAACTAGCTTTTATTTCTGAAACCATCTACAAATGTTAGTTAAAATGGGCATTAAAATAGACATTTCACTATACATACAATCTTGATTTAAGTGCTCAGAAAATTGCTAAAGTGACACTAATAGCAAGTGCTTAAATCAGACAATTATTTCCCAAATTTATTTTGATCAGGAAGTCTAGAGCAGAAATTAGTGTGTTCTAATTTTGAATTAATTCATTTACATACATAATTGCAATGTTAGACTGGGTAGTCACACTCCTGACCCTTTGTAAACTATACTTTTCTCCAGTGTTACTCATGTTTCACAGGAAACTGCCATCTCCAATTAGCATTTAAGCCTGTAAAAATAGACTGTATTTAGCTAGCCTGAAATCTTTACCAGGCTTTCAATGGCTATCATTAAATTAATGGACAATATGTGAAAAAGTGGTTTCAATGTAAGTCAAACAAAAATGCCATAATGACTGTTGGTAATCCCTCAATACTACTGCAAACCTTCACAAACACGAGAAAGGTAAAATGATGGCTACCTTCAAGATCGAAGTACAGCAGAGTTCTACATCAATTCCTTCAAAAAGGTCATGTTAAAGTACCAAGCAGTCTCATATGAAGAGACTGTCCTCTAAAGCAGCTCCAAAATGTAGACTCTTTAGTACCCTTTTAAATGCAAAATTTGGTGCGAGTGCATGTAAAACTTCTTCCATTTTAAACAGGTTTTGTCATTTTCATGATTTCTTCAAAAGGTAAATAAAACACCTCTCTCTGACAGTGACAGAATGTAAGTAATTTCCCCAAGCTGCCTTAGTGATAAAGCAAGGGATAAAACTGCTTATCCTAATCCACTTCCTATTTTATACCAAACGACCTGCTTTCTACTAGAATTTGATTCAAGACTAGTCTTACATTAGTGCTCACATATAAAGTGCTATGCCAGGCACTTAGACCCTCCTCCAAGGAGCTCACTGCTGAGAAGGGGGCTGTGTTGTATAATGCAAGACAAAATCTACGTACCAGAGAGGTACCCAAATTCTGCTCAAGTTCAGAAAATGATCACTTTCTGAGCAAAAAGACAGCAAGTAGGGAAAATTTCAGGGAGGAAGCAAAAGCTGGACCTTGGAAGCATAAGGTAAGGCCTCAGACTACAAACACTGAGAAAAGCTGAAGAAAATTCAAGTTGTAAGAAATTATATGCCCAACCACAGGCACTTCTCATGGGAGAAACAAGCCAGACTAGCTGGGAAAAAGGAGAGTAAACGTGCTAAGAATCTAAGGAAGCTTGGGCCAGATCACAGAAGCCTGATATGCCAGGCTAAAAACAAATACAGAAAACAAATGTGAAATGATTTGAGAATCTTCAGCAGGATCAGTGATGTGAACAGAGCCACACATCAGAAGATTACAAAACTGGTACAGCCTGAAGATATTCATTAAATCAATATTAATGCCTCCTACGCGTCACACTGTTTGCTATTTAAAACACCTTGAAACAGTATTAAACATGGTTTTCCTCTTCCCTGACTGACAACTTCATTACTTTAAAGGTCAGAATATCAGGACAGGAGCTGCCACTTAGGTCTGTCTAACTAACGATTAGATGGTCTGAAACAAACATTATTAGTCCTTTAGGTAAAAAATGCAAATCTATTCCCATCACACTTGTTTTGAGAGTTACAACTATGAAGCTTCGGTGTCTTAGAGGGTGATGGAGATGTTATGAAAAGTAACGGCAACCTTAAGATAGTTGACGAGGACGGGAGAATAGACCCACTCTACTCATTGCTGAGCTGGGTTGTGGTATTCTAAAGGATCATGATGCTGATGGGGGGCAACCTCACCTAAGAAATGCAAAGTAAATGCAAGTTTTTAGATGCACAAATGAGACCTAACTCTCACATGGATGTCTTCCAGTGCACAAGTAACAGAAGACTGATCTAATCTTGTATCATTTCAAAGAAGGGATTTGCCAACTGTGACCTGCCAGACCAACTTGGTCCACCACTTATTTTTTGGTTTTACTGCAATGTGGCCACACTCATTTTAATGTACTCTCTGGCAGTCTGGGGCTACAGTGGCAGAGCTAAGAGTTGTGACAAAGACCATACAGCCTCAAAGGCAAAAATATTCTATTTGGCCCATTAGAGAAAAAATTGCCAACCTCAAGTTTAAAGGTGGGCTGAATGTTATGAGGGGCAGGGCTAGGGTGGATAAGGAATCCCACCTGGAGTTTGCTTGAATTACAGGTAATAAAGCTATTTGCAACAAATAAAAAAAAAACTCTAATAGGAGAGACAACATGGAGATGATACAGTTTAGATTTTGCAAAGGACTAGATCTAGGAACAGAGTCAAAAGTGATACTAAAAATAGGATGGGAGACTAAAAATAATTTATAATGAAGGAATGAGGAAAAAAACTGCTATGGAGACAGTATGTGGAAGAGTAGTGAAAATTACCTTATTTGAGCCCTATAAATCTTAAACGACCTTACTCTGAAGGCTAGCCAGGTGGAAATGTCTGGAGGCAGGCTGAGATGCACACCCAGCTCTGAGAAAGACCACAGCTAGGGACAGAGATGTTAGTGTCCAAAGCAGAAGTGATGAAAGTAAGTGAGACCACTAAAAGACAGAAAATAAAGGAGAATGGAGGATGAGTGATGCCACAAGAGATGCAGCTGTATGCAGTTAGGATGCACGAGAGCAAGAAGCAGAAAAAAAGACAAAGAAGTTTATGCTTAGTGCACTTAGAGGACTCGGCTTGAAGCATGGAAAAGGAAAAAAGAAAAAAAAGAAAAAAAAACAAAAAAACAAAAAACCCAAAACCCCACTACCAAGGTCAACAGAAAAACCTCAGGGAAGTGACTTGGGTGGGAGGCAATCCAGAATTTTGTAGAAGCTGATCCAATTCAGTTGGCACCCCTTACCTTCGGAGGTCCAGCTACATCTAATTTTAGCAATACTAAACTAGCAGCCCACACTGTGGCCCAACACTAAATGAGCAAACTGTGACATCAAGATGAGATCAATATTTAACCTTGCGCTGGCAATGGCAGATGACTGAGGATCCCTTAAAATAGCTTGTGTGCGCCGCTCATCAAACATGTACAACCAAGTGCATAAGATTCTCTCAGAACACAGTGCATATAAAGAGAGAGCACCCCAGCAGAGAATACTGTCTGAGCAGGAAAGCCTTTAAATGTAGGCTGGTGAGCCACTTACCATAGGCAGAGGGCAGTAGAACTGATGAATTGTGTGCATGACGTCCAAGAGCATATTGTGCCCAACAATGAGTTTTCCCTAAAGAAAACAAAGTTAGGTTCTAGGTTCAAATTTACCCTAGGATTTGAGAATAGAATGTTTCAGACTCCACGAAAATTTTGTACAAACTAAACTTGCTTTCCCAATTTAAAAAAAGTTTAAGTATATGCAAATATAAAAATGTGAGCTGGGTTCATTTTTCTTCAATTTTGGAGTGTTAAATCCAGAATACAAAAATAAAAACGCCTAGTGATTTTTATTTCATTGATATTTTTTGGATTTTTATTAATTTCTCACCTTTGAGAATCAGAAGTAGTAAAAAAACAAAATGTTTTTTTCAGACAGGGTCTTACTAGGCTCCCAAGTTAGCTCCAAACTCGTAGGCTCCTGTCTGAGCCTCCCAAGTAGGGCCACAGCACTTGGCTAGAAGTAGTGAAATTCTTATTCTTTACTTTTTCTTTAGTCTCTTGAGCTGTTATATAATTTGTGAGCAAAACTTGAAATACATATTTTAAAACTACCCTTTAAAATAACCCACTTATCTGGGCATGGTGGTATATGCCTGTGCTAGCACTGGGGTGGCTGAAGCAGGAGGACTTCCATGAGTTCGAGGCCAGCCTGGACTACATAGTGAATTCATGGCCAGCCTGAACTAATAGTGAGACCCTGTCCCCAGTCAATCAATCAACCCTCCCACTTATTTTAAAAGATACAATTATAATAAATGCTAAAAGGCCCAAATTAAAAAAAATAAATAAAACAATAAAAGGCCCAAATAACTGATATATATTAAACATAATAAATTTTCATGTCCTACATCATTTATGTCAAAATTCACAAAGCATGGTAAGTATATTTCCATTACATTGCATTGCTTTTCAACCAAGTGAAGTACAATATATTTGCAATAAATCACTCTGTTCTGATAGAAATTAAACTACCCAAATAGAACATCTACTTAAGACTTAACTACCCCAGTGACACCATTCTTAACATTATGCATCAGGTCACTGCCCTGAATTTTTTCTACAAGGTCCCAACGGCTCTTCAGTGAACCAATGTTGAACTCATAGAGCTCTTTGAAATAAATAATCCTATACATAATCTCCCAAATCTCACATGCTGGGCTTCTGGCTCAGTATTTGTGTACACTGAATTCCTATACCAAGTTGAAATGCCAAGTACTGATTAAAATGATAGAGATGGTGGGTAGGGAACCCAGGATGGGTTCCCTAAACACTAATATGAGGAAGCTGAGAAGACAAAAAGTTGGAAAACAGCATCCTGACTAGATGCTGTGAGGCACAGAAATACTTTAATCTGGCCAACATGGTTTTTCTCACAGGTATGGATGAGCAATTTGGAACTATTTCATATGTTCACCAGGTTTAAGCAAATATAGATAAGACAGGTAATAAGAACTGCATTTCTCACTGTCAGAAATAAATTACAAATAAGAAAAGAGTAGACTTAAAATACACTTTGTGGTATTTAACTGGAATCTGATATATCACTATAAAGGGGTGGTAGGGTATAACCATGTACATAACATACTGTTGGGGATATGTTCTAAAAAACAAGTAGGAGGCAATTTCATTGTTAGGTAGACATCACAGAATATGCTTACACAAACCTAGACGAATTACCTAGGTGGTTTAGCCTACCACACACTAGGCTCCATGGGACCAGCCTGTTACTCCTACTCGAGGTACAAACCTGTACAACATGTTACTGTGTTAAATATTATAGGCAACTCCTAACACAGTGCTAAGTATTATTTTATCTAAACATAGAAAAGGTACAATAAAAATACTAAGCAACATGAACTTTTCAGCCCCATTATACTCTTATGGGAGCCCCACAGCATACGTACTTCACAGTTGACCACAACCTTGTTATCAGTGTGTACCTGTGCACACGCACATACAAACACAGTTTCCTCAGCATCCACAGGGCTCTGGTTCCAGGGTCTCCCATGGATATCAAAATGATAAAGCCCTAGAAAGTAATATATCGCAGTAGGAACTGAGGGCCAAATGTTGGTTTAGAAATGCCACTCTCCTATATAGGAACCACAGTCCTTAGAGAAATCACTGATTCTTGAGCTGAGCTAGGGAGAACACAAGATGAGCCTAGAACTTCTCGTGCCACTAGAAAGTAAGGAAGTGCTCACAAAGGAGGAGGCTTGGTCAAAGAACACAGGAGCCAAGCTGAGGAAGTGCCAATAGCCAAAGGTAGTACAATCTGAACAACAATGTAAACAAAAAAAACTAGATTATAATCCACAGGAAACAAATTCCTCAATGCAAACACATATACAAAAGGGGATAGCACTTCTTTAGAGAACCCTATAAACAAATGCAAAAAAAAAGAAGCAAATATAGATTCACCATTAGATACCCCAAAGTAATAACTTGTGTAGGCAAGATCTAACAAATACTAACACTAGTAGGCAAGAGTTTGGAAAAATACAGGTTTTTCCTAGTCTCAAAGTACCTCCTCCAAGATATTTATTATCTGCAGAAGAGAAAAACAACTTCACAAAACACAAACCCATCAGAAACCACCTTAACCTAGCGATCAAGGTCAACATCATGAATAGCACTTCTGTGGAATTCTGGCCAAAACCATGTATTTTCAGTCCAAAAAGAACACAAATCCTAAATGAGGGACATCTGACAAAGTATCAATACTCATTAAAACTATCAAAGTAAATACACAAAGACTGCCAAAGTGTAAGGGATACTAAGAGAGAATAACCAGCCAATGCAACATGGATCCCAGGACTAGAAAGAGAAAATGAACATAGAGAGAATACTGGTTAAGTCTGATTTCCTGGTTTTCATAAATGTACAATGGAAGTGTAAGATGTTAATAGAGATAGCTGTGCTAGTTGTCCATGGAAATTCTGTTGTGACGATTACAAGCAAAGGCTGGTGAACTGAGAGACTGACTAACCTGATCATAAATGAGGCCAACACTTGGACAGAGAAAGTTCAGAGTCAGCAGCTCCAGGAAGAAACAAGGGACCAGGCCAGCAGTGCTAGCCTGAAGAAAAGTCCATAGCAATTGTAAACTGCAAAAATAGTGTGGGGTTTTACTCCAAAAGTGATTCTTCTGCACAGCAGGTTAGAGCTGGAGAAGAAATCTAGTGTAGCATCTGCCATACTTGAGACAATTTAATCAGGAGTCATTTTGGGAAAGCCTAAATTGCTTAAGACTGAGCCACAAAACAAATACAGAAAAAAATCACTTTAGAGTTTCCACTGTTAGCCTACCACAGTGACTGGCTCTGAGACAGCCACAAGAGACAGTCACAAGGTGAAAGCTTGACACAGACCCCTTGAGAAGTTTAAGCTCAGGCTGGGAAGGACATGGGGCTCTACCCTTCATGGTAAGAAGCCATGGCATGTGTAGCTTTCAGAGGAAGCTGGATCTGAAAGTGCTGGCATTGAGTCCAGCAGTCTGCCCAAATTCCCACTGCACTGCCTACATGTAGCACAGAGATTGGCCGGGCATGGTGGTGCACGCCTGTAATCCCAACACTCAGGAGGCTGAGGCAGGAGGATTGTTGTGAGTTTCGAGACCAGCCTGGGCTACAAAGTGAGCTCAAGGCCAGCCTGAACTGCATGGCGAGACCCTGTCTCAAAAAGACAAAAAAAAAAAAAAAAAAAAGAAAAGAAAAGAAAAGAAAAGAAAAGAAAAGAAGATATAGCACAAAGATCAGTAGTAGGATTGCTTTCCCGTCTACCAAGGTGAGAAAGGACACACCTTTGCCTGGATGGTTGCCAGACTGGGGTGTACAGACAGACGGGCCACTGGCTTTGGGGGATGGGTGTTTCACAAACCCACTAAACATAAAGCTAGGGAGAGAAAACCATGACTTGCCAGATTCCAAGCCTGTACATCCTAAGGGGGAAAAAAAATCACTCATTCAAAAATATAGTAATTTTTAATTCATTTTTTAAAATTCATGGTTTTGGGGGGGTTTACAGTTTTTTCCTCTTTTTTTTTCTTCTAATTTTTCTTTTTTGTTTCTTTTATTTTACTACCTTTCCTTCCTTCTTTCACATTCTTTTCTGTTATTTTTATCTACTTCTATTCATTTCCTTTTACTCCTTAGTGGGATTCTTTATCTTACCTTTCTTCCTTCTCATTTTTCTATTGTTCAATTTTTCAAATTTTATTTTTTTCATTACAAACTTTTGTATCTTTATCAGTATAAACATAAACTTGATTAATCTTTACAGTAAGCTCTATGCTATTACTGCTGAATTCTCTTCTATTATTAGTGGAGGTATAGTCATTGCATTTAGTACCATGTTTTCCCAAAAATAAGACCAAGCTGGAAAATAATCAGCCTTGAAAACTAGAGATCAAAAATGCCAGCCCAAATCAGCCTACCTTTGCTTAATCTGCCGTCACTATGCTCTTGCCCTGTGGCTACTTTGTAAGACAGCTAAGGCAAGGATAAACTGATTGATCAATAGTTTTTAAGGCTGATTATTTTCCAGCTAGGTCTTATTTTTGGGCAAAGAGGGTAGGTATCTGCTATGTGTTAATGTTTGCTTTGTCTTAGTGATTATACTATAATTATAGATCTCTTTTCTATGGGTAAGGGTGGTACATTAGTGGCTCTTCTGATATGTCACTATCTGGTTTGTGTTTGACACTATTATTGTTGCTAATTTTGTTGCTATTGCCAGGGTGGCACAGTTGTTGGTATTAACTGGTTTCCTTCATAGGCTAATAACTGGATTACCCTTGTATCATTAATAATACTTCAGTCCATTCCCAGAGAACTGGGTTCTGGGCCAATTACATAGCATCTTCCTCTCCCAAATTAATACAGGTGATCAGATCTTAGGAAGAGGTAAAGGAATATAGTTAGCCATGCCCTGAGTATATCACTGAAAAGCAGACTAACAAAAGAGATCTCTGTACTATCAAAAAAATCTTAGGTTCTTGAGTATGTCAATATTGTGTTTGTTTTGGGTAATGTCACTGCTGCTGATTAACTTGATTTTTCAAAAATTGCA